TGTTTTTTTTTAATCCCACATAAAAACATATTCAGTTATTTGATCCTCATAATACGAATCATCGTGACTTTCTTGGTCGTCTGAATTAGCTAAATTATTTAAATAATTTAATATTTTCTAATCTTTTTTTTTAAAAAAAAAGTTTTTTACCCTACCTTCGTTCTAGCTATCTTTATTCTCATTCTCCTCCCAAATATAATAATTTTCATTTTCATTCCCATCACTGTTATTATCTTCACCATCATATTCGCTCCTACTTTTATCACTTCTATCTTTACCATTCTATTCATTTCTACTTTCTCCACTTTCATACAAGCTATTATTATCATCACCATTATTATCTTGAGTCAAATCAACAACATATTCATTGTTGCTTGAATTATCCACATTAACATATACATTTTCACCTCCTTGATTTCGACATTCTGGATTAGCAACCCAATTATAATTAAACATTATATCCTCTTCAGATCCATTCTGAGCTATAGATATACCACAGCACTTGAACGACCATTGGATAAGGGTGGAGTCAATATGGTCCCATGCTGCTTTAATCTATTTGGCTACCAGATTATAGGCGGGTTGTTGAATACGACCTGAGGGCATCAACTTTTTAATTTCTTCTTCCATCTAATTAAGATAGTGCTTACAATACTTAAAATCAAAAAAAAAGAGATTGTCACAACTAATATCAAATTTAGCTAAAGTTAAAACTAATAAAGTTTTAGCTTTAGCTAAATTTTACTATTAGCCGTGATAATCATTATATAATTATTAAATAATACTATATACGTATATACATATTTGTATTATTTAAATAACTAATATTATTTTATCTCCTCTTTAAAGAATTTATTGATATATACGTCTAATGGTTGTAATTTTTTGGTAAGACCACCTGGAATAACCGCAATGTTAGTATTTTTTTCCTTGAATCAATTTTTAACTGGGTCTGTAAGATGATCATAAAATTCATCCAAAATGAGTAATGAACAAGGATCAACAGATAAAGGAGCTCAATATTTCCAGACATGTTCAATCCATAAAATCATTTCATTAGCATTTATATATCCTTCTGTATTAGCTTGTACAATAATACCTGATAGAAATATTTTTCGTGGTATATTTACTAACTTAAAAATCATCATAGGGGGCAATTTAGTACCATCAGCTAAACAACTTAAAACAACAGTAAAATTGAATTTTTCATATCCAGTTGTATGAATTCCAACTGTATGAGCACCAGTTTCTTCAATCGTATAGTTACTAGGCATATCAAATACCAATAGTGTCTCATCCATATTTTCAATAAGAGAAAGTGGATATTTATAAAGCATTTGATGATATAACACATTACTCAAAAAAGCATCTCTTAAAGGTTTTAGATCCTCTGACAGTTTTTGTGCTACTGTAGTACAACATCTATTACTTAGCTTATTTCTGTACATAAAACCTTCTAACTATCTATCATTCCACTTACAGTTATTGATTGAAGGGTAATTTGAAATAAAATGGGGTTGTCTTGCAAGTTGTTGTGCTTTGGTCTCAACCATATTTCGGAATACAAGCTTTTGTTTTGAGCATAAAGATTTAATCCAAGCTAAGAGATCAACTTCTAAAAGTGAATATTTAGAATGAGCACCAATGGTTAACCATTTAATAGCAGGTGAAGCACTTTTAAATTCAATTTTTTTTGATCTATTCACGCAACTGCTTTGGTGTTATATTAAATTTTTGAGCAGTATTACAGTCATACCTGGGTTATATCACCCCTTTTATCCAGGGCATTTTTGGGGATATAACTAAGATAGGGATATATCTT